GGCAGCCCAGCTCCAGGTCAAGCTGTTGTTCACCATCTTAGCTGTAGAGGGCACAGCATCATTGGCCCTCATGTGGGATCCTAACCAGCAGCCCTGCTGCTCAGAGCTCATGCTCCCAAGCCAACTCTTAAGCAACGAGCCACTCAACCGGCCCCTAACAGATATTTATTGAGAATCTAGTATTTGTAGGCACTGTTCAGGTCCTGAGGCCATTTCTCTCGTGGTTATAGGACAGCGAACTATGAGTAAACATGAACGAAAGGAGAAAATATCTATTCAGACAAAACTCTTACAGTAAAAACAGAAGTCTTTTTAGTGATTGTAGACAGTGTCAAAAACAGTTGTTTTCTCTATGAGCATTTTTGTGGTTGTCCAGATCTCATGATTCTTCTTACAGGAAGGACAGTTAGACTGTTAGAGTTAAAAATATATGGATGTTAATGAATGCTAAGATAATAGTGAGGAGCTCAACATTTCCTGGAGTAAATGCAGGAGATATGGGAATTAAATTTTACGTAGTCTTTTGAGGGAAGTTTCCACTTAGTGGCAAAGTACTTATATATCAGAGTTCTTTTAATGGCAACCTGATCTTGAGGTTGGAAAATTTCTGTTGATCTACTTTCAGTTTTATTGACTTCTTAATCTGTAATTGCAGCCTGATGTTAAGCCAATTCATTTAATTTTATATTTCAATTATTGTTTTTTATTTTGTTATTACATTTCATTTTTTTATAATTTATATTTCTCAATTGAGATTCCCCATCTGTTTATTCATTGTGCATTATTTTTTCTTTATGCTTTGGAACATATTTTATATTTATAATAGTTGTTTTAAAGTCCTTGCCTACTAATTGTAAGGAGTACCTTTGCATCAATTTCTATTGCCTGTTATTTTTTTGTTTTCTTTAGTATAGGTTGCATTTTGTTTTGAATTTAGTAGATTGCATTTTCTTGTTTCTTCACATTTACTTAATTTTGTAAGTATGTTGGATGTTAGAAATATGTTGGATATGTTGTAGAGACTCCATTTTGTTAAGGCTTTTTTTTTTTTTTTTTTTCCTGAATAATGATTTTGGTTTCGCCAGGCAGGCAATTAAACTTGCTGGACTGAAACTCCAGTTTCTCTCTCTTTTGCAATGAGCAGTTACTTACATTTCTGCTAAGTTAACAAGAATTTGGGTGAATTTTATGAGCAGATTTTGTGGATCCTTCTCTCGTCCAGGATTTAGCTCATCTAAATTTCAGGCTGCTGTGAGCCCAGAGTGTGTCCTCTGATACCGCACGTCAGTCAGGCAGCAGCTTTCTTCTTCCTGAGCTGCAGGCAGGTTTGGCAGGGCAAGCCCAAGGCAAAAGGCAGCTTTTACAAATCATCTGGGTGCTGTTTGTCTTTAGAGAGAAGTCTACTCTCCAATTTCTTCATGCTTCTGGTACGTCTCAAGTGCCTTCAAATAGATTCTGAAAAGTATTTTTTTGAAATCTTGTAATTGTTATCTATGGGAGGATTAGTCCAATTAAACTATTCCATCATTTCCCAAAACTAGAATAACTCAAAATAAAATTTAAAAGGTGATACTGAAACTAACGGCCAGTAATTTAGATATAGTACAGCTAATACAGAGTTTTCGTAAGATTATTACTTGCCTAATCTGGACATTTTATTTCTAGTTACACAGGCTAGTTTTCTGTTAGATGTTTTTACCAGCTGTCTCATTCTTGATTCATGTTATGCTTATTCTTGTGGTTGTTCGAAGTATTGATATTCATTTGAATCTTAGAGTTTTCCAAGCATTCTTTTTATTTTATTATTATTTTCACCTGACTTTCTCCTAAGCTTGAGCCACAGAAAATGATAGGAAATAAAAGAGGGAAAGGCCTTTGTTCTTTCATACAACAAATAACTATACTCTTTTCTTCCCTAATGTCACTTTAGCAGTTCGTATCTGACTCCATGATCACAGTAATTACTAAAACACAGTCATTATGAAGTTTCACAATTAAAATTTGTAGTTTAGAGAGCGATGTGAACTACTCCAATAAAAAGCAAGCAAAGCATAACTTTACAGTTAGTAGTTGTGATCCCTCAAAACACAATCCACAAGCCTATAAATGGACTACAAACTCATTTCCTGGAATAAAAGAAAAAAAACAAGGTAGAATGTTAGAGGCTCGTTGTTTATTCTGAGTAGATAATTACATTATGTTTTTCCTTAGAATTTAATTTTCCTATTAATAGGGTTGGTATAAATAGATTAGTAGTTTATCTTGTTTGATAGAATGAAGTTGGAATTGTTTATTATCTGTTTTATTGTAGATTCTTAGAATAGTGCTATAGTGCTTCAAGTTATTTGCATAATGGTTCAATCAACTTAATTTATAATTGTATTTATTTTCTCATATGGCCTTGACCTTAAAATTTTCACCTCATTTTAATTTTGATGTTCAATTGTTAATGGAGTGTTCTTAATCATTTTTGAGTTATTAATTGTCAGTAGAGTATGAAATAATGTGAAAAAAATCTTAAAAAGTTGCTTTATTTGAATTGTTCCTTTTTGTACAACAGACATGAATTTTCCAATCTTGTTTTGAAAAACATTATATAACTATTACTAATTTTAAACAGCAGTCAAATAACTAAAGATATAGAAGACGCTTAAAGTAAATTTAACAAGGAAAGTTAGACCAAGGAGAAGAATAAGAAATCACTAAATGAGGTGTTGCAACCAAAAGGATATTAGATTTTTTCACTGTTATTTTAAAGACTATATAGAACTTCAGGACATATCAAGTTGCTGAAGATCAGGATTAAGAATGGGAGGGAAAGTTGAAAGGGGGCATGGAGGAAGCATTAAAATATGGGAACTTGAAAGAAATGTTTAGCTGGTATCAGAGGAGTGATAGCTTCCTCATAGCAGAAGGAGCTCAGCATAGAAGCCCTTTAGGAGCGAGTAATTCTGTAGTCCAAGTTAGAAACTGCAATATCAGAAACTGGATTATAGTAGCTTTGATTAGTTCAAAAGAAATCATCATTAATCACCACTAACATCCTTGTTAAATCATCACCACTATCAACACCATTTTATGATCAAAATCATTAAAATTTATTAAGTGTTTATTTTATCCCAGGCACTGTGCTGAAAACTTGACATGAATTATTTCTTATTTCCCCATACTGTGGGAAAGAGACTTTTATTAGCTTATGGACAGATGAGAAAGATGAGGCTTAAAAGGTTAAATTAAGTTGTCCTAAGGTCCCAGAGATAGTAAGTGGCAGAGATTTTACTCAAAACCGAATTTTCTGTGCCCCAAACCTATGCTAATAATGAAAAAAATAATCTGGAAAGACTACGAAGCTAATTTTAAGATCTCTAATTTGCAGTTTGCCATTAAGCAATACAGAATTTTCTGTTATGGCCAAAATAATTTTCTGCCAGTGTGAATAATTCAAGAATATGTTATTTGTTTGTGCAATTTCCTCCTTCAATGTTCGGTAGAGGCTGAACTGCTAGAATAAAATGTCTGACCATCATTATTTCAGGGGATTTCAGAGGGCTGAATTTTTCCGGGGACATATTGACAACAAGGTAAAGTTCTTTCCATCTACACTAGTATTTTTTAAACTTTTGCTTATCGTTTTTTTTCCTCCTTAGGAAAAATTGGATGCCGGGGTGAGAAAAGAAGTCGACGGCATGGGGACCTCTGAGATAAAGTACGGGGACTCAGTATGCTACATACAACACGTGAACACGGGGCTGTGGCTGACTTATCAGTCTGTGGACGTGAAATCTGTGAGAATGGGAGCCATACAGCGTAAGGTAAGGTGCTGGAGAAACACCATTTATAGCGGTCATTTTTTAGGACTAAGAAAACACCAGCACAAGGCAAAAAGAAGTAGCAAATACTCTCAGCTGCCCGCTGAGGTTCATTACTGATATGCTGAAGGTCAAATCCCATTATCAAACATTCTTTGGTTTTTGTAAGGTCAACGTGGCTGGTTGTTGCATCACTGATTTAAAGATTAAATGAAGCACTATGGTCCTGTCTGGATTCTAACATAGTCTGCCTAATTCACTTTGTCCTCGGTGTTGTGGCTGGGATTATGTCTCTAAAATGCAGGCATGCTCTTGTATTCTCACCTCTAAGTCCTTCTCTGAGTCCCCTTCCCTTACAAGACCACACTTTTTGATGGTGACATGACAGCCTTCCCAACCCAGCCCTCACCTCCTCTCTGTTCTTTGTTCTTTGGCTAATCTCTACGCACTGTCTTCATTTCCCCAGCATGCCACTCGACATGTTCCCTCAGTCACTCAGAAAAAACAAAAACAAAAACCATGGCTTTTACACATCTGTGTCTTTGCATGTACTGTTTTTTTCTGGTTTGAGTACTCTTTAAAACCTTTTTTCTCCACCCAGTTCTTATCCATCCTCCAGAGGATTAGTTTGAAGTTGATCTTGGAAGTTCTTCCTATTTCAGCTTATCCTCTACACCTTCCTTTGTGTTCTCATAATATTCATGTACAACTTATTAAATTTTCTATACACTCCCTGTGCTATTTTATGTATGAGCCTACGTGTCTCTTTCTCCCTCCTAATTTGTGAGGTCTCCTAGGGCAAGTACATTGTACCCAACGGTTCCTATTTCATATTTTTACACCAACATGTAACACAGTGCTCAGAACCCATCAAATAAGACAAATGTCTGCAAATGAGAGGCCTTGGAAAGGAAGACTGCAGTGGGGCAGAAAATTTTATTTTCAGTAGATTTATTAATCGTAACATATACACAGTCCAGTGTAGGTTGCTCAGTGTTACTGTGATCTGCTTAGAGTGACCGGTTCTGATTTCAGTGAAGTTGGAGGCTGATTCTGCGTTGATGGGGTTGGACTGAAATTAACCCCTGTCCTGCTGTCCTCAGAGCTTCGGGAGGAGCTCCTGGGTCAGCTCTCCTGGAGATCCATGCCCCATTGGATTACTACTGTTACTTATTTCAAACTTTAGAGGTAAAATTTATATACACTGAAATGTGAAAAACTAACCATAGAGTTTGGATAAACGGATATATTGCGTGACCCACACACATCACAATATGGAACATTTCCATTTCCCAGGAAAACTACCTGACATTCTACCCCAGACCATCCCTGCTCCTTCTCCACAGGGGCAACTGCTTTGGTGGTCCTGTCCCACCATGGGTTACTTTTGCCTGATGGAGAACGTCATCTAAATGAAATCACACAGCACGCTCCCCTTTGTATGGAGTGTCTTTCATGCAGTAGAACGTCCCTGACTTTATCCTCTTGTTGCCCATTGGGAAACAAAGAATTGAAGCTGCTTTTTGAGGTCTTCAAAAGCCACACAGCCAAGAGTTTTAGACAGAAGTCAGTTTACAGTCAAGTGGGAGGGACCAAAAGGAAAAGGCACGGCAGAGGGTGTATAATCGTGACTTACCGTCTGTCTCCATTGCTAGACTCTGGGGACGGGAACCCCATCTTTTATTTCAGTATTCTCAACATCTCGCACATTGCCTGTGCCAGAGTTGATGCTCAGTCAGTATTTCTTGAATGAAACATGTATTTTCAAGGGTATAGAAACAGTTGCGTTGATGAGATCCCACAGGTTCCAGTTAGCTTGGTCTCCAGCTGTGTTAGCATCTCAGAGCTTTGGGCTCCCTTTGTGCTGTGTGAGCATCTGGAAGGTGAATAGCTACTGTCCAGATTGTGGCAAAAGAGTTTAATTGGACTTCATGCAAATTTTTATTTTAATAATGATATTTGGCCATGAATGGATCTTATATCAGATTTAGCAGAATATTTTCTTTTATCTTTTTTTCTAAATTATTTTGAAAAATTTCAAGCATTCAAAAAAGTTGAAGACTAATTAGTCAATAAACATCCATATACCATCAAACTAGATTCTACAATTATTAATAATTTGCAATATTTACTTCCTTCCCTTCATCCCTTTCTTCTTCCTTCTCTATCTCTGAATGTATATGTGCACACACACATCTACACAATAACACACATCCACAATACCATTCTTATACCTAGTAAATAGTGTTAATTCCATTACATCATCGAATATCCTGTTCCCATTCATATTCTATTGTCCCAAGAATGGCTTTTATAGCTTATTTTAAATCAGGATCCAATCAAGGTTCATGCATGTGTTTATCTTTTATCTTTCTTTATGTTCTTTTAATTGCGAGCAGTCCCTCACCTTATTTGTGTCCTGTGCCACTGAGTTTTTTAAGAATCCAGGCAAGTTACAGAAGGTCCCGTTTCCAGATATGTCTGACTCTTTCCCCATTGCCTTTGTTCCTTGTAATTCCTATAAACTTGAAATTAGGTCTAGGCTGTGCTGTCCAAATCAGTAGCTGTTATCCTCATGTAGCTATTTGGTGCTCAAATGTGGCCAGTGCGACAGGTCCTGAATTTTTAGTTTAATTTAACTTTATTTAATTCAAATTTAAAAACATATACTTTAATCACTGATTAAGTTATTAGAAAACTTACATATCTTTTGAACACATTGCATATGTAAATGTGCTTTTCTAACTATATAAATGTTATCAATTTAAAAAAAGTCAAGTAATTTCAATAATAATTTGGTACCCAAATCAAGATATTCTATCAGTATAAAAACACACTGGATTCTGAAGACACAGAATGACAAAAAGAATGTAAAATATCCCATTAACAAACAAGTCTGTATATTTATTACATGTAGAAATAAAGCTTATATATATCAGATTAAAGCAAATACATTATTAAAATTAATTTTACCTTTTAAAAACATTTATTAATATGGATTCTAGAAAATTCAAAGCTATGTATTTTAGAAACACCTCTGCCTCCCATGTGCTTCCTTCTGGCCACTGACACCCTCAATGATAAACACTATCATCGCTTGTGAGGCTCGAGATGAGTTCTGCTGTTGGGCTTTTTATTTTATTGACAGTGATTTTGTTGGATTTGCTTTACCACAGTCTATGTTGTTCAATCTCAGTATTTACCAGGAAGGTAAACATTCAGAATAGATTTCATAAATCATAAGGAATTGAAAGAATACACAAAGCAAAAGTCTTAATTTAGATATTACTTCCCTGGAGGTCTTGTCTATTATCACGTTTTCCTTATAGCTTTTATTAAGGTGACTCTGATAAATGGTTATGGGGGAAATATAGACAGAAATAAAAACATGTAGACACATTTTTTAAAAATATAGAAATAAACTATAATAAGAAAATCACTAGATACTCTCCACGTGTTACTTATCCATTCACTATACTTAAGTGGTAAATGCAAAACAAAACAAAATAAAAGCTTAAACAATTGTCTCTAACCATTTTGCTCCTGTACCCCTTGAATGAATTTTTAAAACCCGCGATATACTTTTCATTATAAATTTAAATATTGCAAATAAAGTGCTTTCTGTTCTATAAATATGAAGATTTTAAGCCAAACTGTACATGTGTCTTTTAACTATGTTGTATGGGAACTAAATTCCACAGTTTCCTTCCTTCATTCTGTTGAATTCCATAATTCAACAGAGCCTTGACAATTTTATCTTCCAAGTATACCTTGTATCAGCTCCTTCTGCTCCATCTTTACAAATCTGGTTAAGCCTTTATCATTCCTCATGTGCAGGATTTACATTGCCTCTTCACCAATCTCTCTGCCTTCAGTCTACCTCTGCCCAAGCCACTCTGCCCTAATGGCTGCCATGTTTAAAACCCTTCATGGCTGAGCGTTACTTCCTGTAGGAACCAGTCTCCTTACCACGACAGACTACTTGCCTCACCTCACCTGTAGCCACCTGCTGCCTTCAGTCCATGGCAGTGATGCCAGGTCCTTAGTCGTTACCCCACTGTCATCCTCCTTAACCATGGATTGAAGTCAAAACGGGACTTACCGTCTCCATCCTAGGCTAACTAGAGCTTGCGTTTTAGAACAGTTTGACTGACAAGGGTGTTGAGAAGCTGAACAGTCTTGTTTATGTGAAGGAACATGTGAAACAGACTTTAGCGGTCATAGAAGAGGTAATCTAATTAAAATCTCTTCTTGACATTTATTACTACTTCTAGAGCCATCCACTATACTAAATCTTTATGGGGAGACTTCAGTGCAGTCATGATAATGTACCCCAATCTAGACCTCCTAATTTGTGTATAGTACTTGCCAGTTAGCTAGTGTCTTCAGATCATTTTATTTTTCAAGAAAAGCATGTTGGTGCTGTCTTCAAATCTTTACATGTCTGAAACTGTTTTCCTGTTGTCGTTTCATATGAATAAAAACTTGGTTAGTTAAAAAATGTCTGAATGACTAGTTATAGCTTTTATATGTCCCATTTAATGTGAATATTCATGCTTTGCTGCTGAAATATAAATTTATTGATTGCTGAGTGATTCACAGACCACACTGGGGTATGGTGAATACCTTTAAAAATATCTTAGAACTCAAAATTATGAAATGCATCTGTTACCAAGTGTTTTTAATCTGCATACTTAGGTCATTTTAAAACTGAGAGGAGAATTTTTTAACCACATCTTTGGTTTCTGTTTTCTTTTAGTTCAGTAGTTTCTTTCTCAGGGACGTGGTTGGTTCCTCTTCTTCATGGCCGCCATCTTCCCTGTCAGAATGCTCACCTTCCTTTCCTTATCTCTACAGTTTGCTTCTTAAATGTGTTAACCACGTTACCTATTTTGTTTTCTTTGATGCTGTTCTGTTCTTTAAGCTTGATCAGTGCCTTTGAAATTTTAGTTTTCTTATAGTGTTTCATTATCTCACACAGATCACTTTTTATCTCAGCTTGCTCTCTTCTCATCTATTCTGGTTGTTCATCTCAACATGTTTTCTTGTGGATTTTCACTCCTGTTTCATAGAAGTCATGCCTTCTTGCATCCTGTGGACAATTATATTTAAGTAGTATCTTGCTTTTCCTATTGTATTTAGATTTTTTAAAAAATAGGAATTATTGCTGTATTTTATCAATTAAAGGGAGATTAAAATATTTTATTGTCCTTCAATTTGTTCATAAATAAGTTAATAGACATCATGATATTGAGGAATCTTTAAATTCATTGACTAAATCTTATCTGGCCATAGGTTATTCTTTTGAAACTTTACTAGATTCTCTTCATATTTTATTTAGAATTACTGCACATATTAGGTGAAATTAATTTTTCTTCATTTATGGATACGTAAATTTGAATTTCATACAATTTTTATGTGTCACAGAATTTTTTTTTTTCTCTTTTCAACCATTTAAAAATGTAAAAACCATTCTTAGCTCACAGGCTTTACAAAAATAGGCAATACAAGTAGGTTATAGTTTGCTGACTCCTGGTCAAGACTAATCTACTATTAAGAGTATCTGTTCTTTGAAGTTTTATTAGAACTCACTTGTGAAATTATTTAGTCCTGGGCCTTTTAAATATTAAAGTTTCAATTTCCTTTCCAATCTCCTAAATAAACTGATCTTATCAAATTTTCTACTTAGTTGGGGGGATTTCTTTCTATGATTCTTAATTTGCTAGGAAGCCATCCATTTCCTCTGGGATACTTAGTTATGTTTGTTTTTATTTTTTAATTGTATTTTTTTTGGCCGTTGAATTCCACACAATATTGTCCTATTATAATTTTAATGTCTTTTGTATCTTATATTGTATTCTCTGTTTTTGCTTTCTTTCCATTTTATTTTTAGCTTGGTTTGTGAGTTTATCTATTATATTTATCTTCTTAAGAAATCAAAGTTGGGGCTTTAAAAAAATTATTTCTAGTTGTTTATTTGATTCTAGTTCATTAATTCCTTTTTATTGGCTTGTCGGAAAAGTCATGACGCATTTTTGCAACAAAAAACATAGAAAAATAGGTCATGACTTTTCCGACAACCCAATATCTTTATTAATCCCCTTTTCAACTTTGTTTTTATTTTTTAGAGTCTTAAAATGCGTACTACATTCCTTCATTTTAGTCATTTTTTTCTTTGTCAATGAGGCATTTAAGACTATAAAATGCCCTTTGAATCTCCATTTCATCATATAAGGAGTGTAAGGAGTTACATTTTATATGGCTCTCTAGATAGTTTATAATTTTAGTTATCATTACTAATTTTTAATTCAATGCTCCTGAATTAGATGCACTACAGATCTTGCTGTAAGAGTTGAGTGAAGGAAGCTGGATGCAAATGGTTGAACACTGCACGGTTCCATTTATATTTATTAAACAAATGACCTTTGCTGTTAAAAATCAGGAACGTGGGGACCATTGTGGAGGATAAAGGCAGGAAGGGAGCACTAGCGGAAATTTTAAGGTGCTGTAATGTTCTCTTTCTTGATCTGGGTGTTGTTTATTCAGTGTGTTTACTTTGTGAAAATCATTCAGTTGTTCACTTAAGATTTTTGCACTTCTCTGTCTTCATGTTATACTTTCATAGGAAGTTCAAAAACGAGAAGCCTAACAAAAAAGAACTCATAAAATAAAAATGCATTTTTCAAAGACTTAGATGCCTTGGAAACATTGCTCAGTACTTATTAAATAGCCAGTCTGTGTTCAGAGCTACTGTATAATTGGTATATGACTTTCGGTGCTGTTTTGATCAGTTTGTTAGTCTGTGGATCAGTCATTGACCATAGTTATGTGAAAACGCTCTGGTGTTTATTTCGTTCAACTCAATGCAATAACTGATTCATTCTTTAAAGCAATAACTGAATGAATATATTGAATGACTAGTTTGTATAGGGACCTACACATATTGTTTTACATATACACAATAGCTTTACAGTACCTTTTACCTGTCTATTTATTGTTATCACCTTTTTGTGTGCTCATCTTCTTAACCCCCATTTGGAAAAGAGATGTTGGGAGTGATGGAGTGATTTCTGCTTCCTTACAGGCTATTATGCATCATGAAGGTCACATGGATGATGGCATAAATTTATCCAGATCTCAGCATGAAGAATCGCGGACGGCACGAGTTATCAGGAGCACAGTCTTCCTTTTCAATAGATTTATAAGGTACATTTTCTTCTGTTGTGGTTGTTTGACATTTTATCTCAGCCTCCTTATTGGATTTCCAAATAAACAATTTTAAAATATACTATGGTGGTGATCTCATTCAATTTGGAAGGTCAGCAGAACAAGTTAGAAAGTTCTAGTTAGATGATTTTATGTTTTTCTTTTAAATGAACACTTTTAAAAGAAATGCGCTTTTAGAAATTTCATTTGTTACTTGTAATTGACAGCTGTGGGTCAGGATTATTCTATAAGCTACCCTTGAACTGGACCTATTTAATTTCCTTTTACACTGAGGGTAATATTTTGTGAGTTTTGAATTGTATTAAAAAAATAAGCCTAGACATCTGTGAGCTTAGATACTTTGTGTTTTTAACTATATTAAAAAATAAATAAAGTGATTCTTGTATTGACAAAGTTTTCCCACCTATTAATGGAAATAATTGCATGTCTATAAATTAAATCAACCTTGTGGCCAGTGTTTCTGGTAACATTATATCGATACACACACTGACCTGAGATGAATATCATATATATTTTTTAAACTTTACCAGTTTGATGGGAAAAAAAATTACGTGTGTATGTGTGTTTGTGTATACACACACACTTATATTTATAATTATAATTATATTTTTAAATTTGCATTTATTTGAGAACTGTGAAAATGGTAATATTTCCTATTTGTTGACCAGATTTATTCATTTTCTTTTGTGATTTACCCTATTATTATTTATTAATATTTCTACTAGGCTGCTATGAACTTGCATTATGATAGAAATTTTAATTTCCTGTCACCATATATAAATTGCAAATATTTTCCTAATTTATTGGTTTGAAAATAATTTTCAGGTTTTTTTTTGTTTGTTTGTTTTATCCCATAGCAGTTTACTAAATCAATCATGTTTTGGCTTTACAGCATATAAAGATCTTCACCACCCATGATTATACAAAAATTTACTTAACTATTGTTTCTTTAATAAATCATTGCACTGTGTATGTGTGTGTGTGTGTGTGTGTGTGTGTGTGTGTGTGTGTGTGTGTGTGTGTGTATTGTGTACATACTTTTATAAAACCAAAGAATGTACAACTCAGGGGGTCTTCGTGCTCACCTGGGCCCCTGTCAACCTGTGGCCTAGAAATTCTCCCAAGACAGTGAACTGGGGCAATTGTAGACTTACCCTTGTTTGTTTCTTCTGTCTCAGGCATTCATGTCTTTTATTCCATGATATCAGTATCTTGAAATGTTTTTTTTCCCCAATATTTTGTCTGTTTTGTGGGGTGTCAGGTGTGTGTGTGTGTGGGTGTTTAGAGAGAGTGAATTCTGTCACTTTTACTTTATTTTGGATGAAAACATCACAAGTGTAGCTGATGCAATTCTTACTTCACCATGAGATTCTAAGTTCCCTCAGCCAATGTAGTCTGTGGTCTCTGTCAATTCTGTATTGCTGTGTTTTCACCTTTAGGTTTCTCATTATAAACCCGTTACCAAATTACTGCTTTTCCTGAGTTATCTAGCACCTACTTTCAAGTGTCCATCTCCCCCATGTTCACCTAACAAATGCCATGGAGGAACAGAATGAGTCTGTTTCCTTCTCTTACACTTAACTGACATTTTTTGTGCATTACTTATTCAAATATTAAATTTTAATTAAGCTTTGTTTCTTTTCTTTCTAGAATATTTACCCATTAGTTATATTATTTAATTCATCATGTTTATTTATATTTCTACACATGCTGGTTTTAGTAAGATGCTCAGTATTACTGAACTATTAGAAGTCCTTGAATGTATACAAATTTTTGATACATCTCAGAAACTTTGAAAAGGTTTACATAATCATAGAACATTGTAAAGAACATGTTATTTTAAGTAAAATAATTTGATTTTTCTGTCATATTCATGAAACCTCCAAAATCTTTAAAATTTCAATATCTGTACAATATTTGTATCCCTATAGTTTTCAAAGTAAATTATTTTTAAGTATCCATTTTATTTATGTAGATATGTTTACTATGAAGAGCCTCATTTAAAAAATGTGTATCCAGATATCTCTGTTTTACTTCTTAGAGTGAAAGTCAAGATGATTTAGTTTTTGTTATGAGTTTATTCTCTGTAACCTTTCTGGTGTCTCTCTTGCAGGTCAGGGTAGTGGTGGGAGGGTGTGTATGTGTGTTTGCATTTATGTTGTGTATAGGGGAAGAGATTCTATTTTCCTGGACTGTACACACACACACACACACACACACACACACACACACACACACACACATACACACACATAAAGTCATTTCTCCCTCTAGGCATATTAATAAATGTATTCTGGAAGTAAATCAGAGAAGGGAGTAATATGGCTTAATCTTCAAATTACGAAATATAAAGATGGAATTCAGGGCTGTAATTTTTGCTCTAACATAGTGTGGTTTTACCACCTTTGGTTTTCCCCAATTATCTTCTCTTCATCGTTTTATCTTTAATAAATTAAGATGACAAATATCTCTAAATTAGATGGAAGTTCTAAAACTTGGCGTAATTAACAATTTTAGAGTCTTAGCATTTGTCTGAGAAGAGGCTTCGCCTAGAGAGCAATGAAATGGTTACATTTCTGTTAGTGGATATAGTCAATTTAATAACCTAAAAGCTGACATTTACGATTGTTTCTCTTTAAGTTTGAAAAAGTAGATATTATATTTGAATCACTTAAATTCATTCACTTTAGTGTGATGAGAGTTGAGTGTGATTGCTATAAATATATTTATTATTCAACTAGAGTTAACGGGATAAAATGTTTACGAAAGAAATATTTCATTACATATGGATTTTCATTTTAAAACAGGAGAAATAATTATTTTCTGAAAAGTCATTTCTGTTACTTTTTGGGCATTCAAAAATTTATAGAGATGATAGCACTAGGTAATAGAAGAATTCCATTGACGTAATTGATTTGAGACTTCAGGCAAAACTTTAGAAGAGTCATGCAGTTTTACTATTTCTATTGTTTATGAGGATGAAGTCAAATATTCCAAAATTATTATTAAGTTTATGTAAATTATGATACATTTTAAATAATATTTTTGAGCATCATAAAGTTCAAAGGTAGCTAATTCTCATTTATAAGGCTTTTATTGTTTTCAAATATGTACTTTCCAATACTTTCAGATAATTAGCCAAAAACATTTTCTTGGAATAAAATATTCCTGTACAATTTTGCTGACACAGAGAGCAGGAAAGAAAGCATAATATTTTTATACATTAAATTTTATCATGACTAAGGTGAATATTATTATATCAACTTCAGCACAGGCATTCTCCCATTCTTCTATGGTGTGTGTTGTATATTTTTTAATAAACTTTTTATTTTGGAATAATTTTGATTTATAAATACCATGTGTTAAAGTTCTTTCTAGAAACATTCAAAGCTTGAGTTTTAAAACTCAGAATATCAGAAAGCTTAGCAAATTATCACCTTTACTGCCGGTAACATGTTTTTCCTCAAAGGCTAGAAAATGCAACATGATGTCATTTTTAAATTCAATTTTAAATACATTTTTTTCACATGTTGAAAAAGCATTTTAATATATTATTTCCTGATTAATAAGTGAATTTTCTGAATTAACATCATTAGAATATATATTTTAAACTGGCAGGCATTAAACAGAATGCAGTGAGCATCAGTGATAGCATAGCAGTTAACAGTTCCTTCTCCAAAAACAAAACACAACAGAAATAGTAAATTTCAGAATTATGAATCTGAGAAGTTGCATCTTAAACCTTAAAGTATCTAGTGCTTTCAAATAAAAATTGGTTGGTTTCTAAAGATTTAGACCACTGGTTTTGTAGGAATCAATCCTCTAAGCCCTTCAGGTTTTTTGCTAGATGAGTGTCTCTCAATACTGGTGTTTTTAATATAACATTATGTACACACGAAAGAATATGAAATGTCTCATTTGAATATATTAATTCTTGCTGTTTCAGGAAATCTAGAACATTTTTTATATGTTCTTTTTACAGTGGTATAGAGAGAGTAGCATTTTAAATCACCTATAAACTACAAATTAATACCTAAAATTGTGACTCATTAATGTAGAGAAATGCTTGCTGTTTCTTAGGGGCCTTGATGCTCTGAGCAAAAAAGCAAAGGTTCCTGCAGTGGACTTGCCCATCGAATCCGTCAGCCTAAGCCTGCAGGACCTGATAGGCTACCTCCACCCGCCAGGGGAGCACCTGGAGCACGAAGACAAGCAGAACAGATTGAGGGCTCTGAAGAACCGGCAGAATCTCTTCCAGGAAGAGGTGGGTTCCTCCTGACACCCATGTCTTTTCTGCCGTTGGGAAGCAGCTTCTTGGTGGGAAGATTCTCTATCTGACATCTTGCATTTCGAGGTCTTGAAAAGCAGGCATACTACTGTCCATGGGAACCAGGCCTTGGAGAACCCTGCAATTATTTTTGTTTCTCTATCAATGAGTATGGAACATGTCCCTCCCCTGGCAAAGGAGATATTTTACTGTCTGCTCAGCTGTCACACTGATCATTTGTTGCACTGCAGTTTGTTTCATGTTAGTTATATAAAAACACTCTGAACGTGTCTAAATGAATACAGGTTTGGCAAATGTGAGGGTTTTCACATTGTCCAGTGGGTTCTTCAGGTCTCCTTGGAGCTGCCTCAGATCACGTGTCAGGGATGGGAGCTGCCCAGTAGCTCAGCAGAGGGCCTCCTGGAAGTCAGAGCCCTGCTTGGACTCAGAAACCCCACTTTTTCCTTTTGCATGGATTAAGTTTCCATGTGTAGTTTTATTTCACAAAAGTTCCTCTGCTCCAAAGAGCTCAAGCATTGTGTTTTACAGAATAACAGAAGGACCCTGTGATATGTCCAATGGTGCTAATGCCAGTATCAGAACTAGTACCGTATGCTCCAGACTTTCAGTGGGAGGGTGTCAGAGCTCAGCTGGCAAGCAGGCCAGCTCAGCAAGTGTTTCATGCTTCCCAGTGTCCCTGTGTGTGGAATAATGGATTCCTCTGAGTAAAAGTATCGAAAAAAGTGTTCAGAGGACATTGCTGAGTTCCCATAATCCCTAATTTTATGTTCTTCTAGTTTGAAAACTGTTTCCTAATTTTCCATGGAAAGCCTTTGAAACTGACATGAATTTTTGAGGACTTTTTCAGTTTATCTGAAAGAAATGACCTAGAGACCATGGTGGCATGGACGCTCAGGAAATGTCAACATAAACCAATACTAGCAGCAGGGAGTAGTTTATTGGGAACTTTTCTTTTTATATATGCCAGATTGTTAGACTATACTGCATTCATTTAATATCTAGTGAAACCAAAACAAAATAATAGGCTATGAAAATTTGAAATATTGATTTGTATTTGTTTTTTTTTTCTTCTTCTTCAATTTTTCATACAAGACAATATGGATGGAGACCTAGAAGTGTTCTTAGCTCCATGAATTCTTGGTGTGAAATAAGTTAATTTGATTAGTCAACTCTATTAAAAGCTCTTCCTTGCCTCATTTTAACAACTTTGATCTAACAATAATAATAAAAGCATACTTTCAAATTTAGACAGCATCTTACAAAGCTCTAGAGTGAATCTTTGATTTGCTTTAAAGATATCTTTTTTATGAGCTTCTCTTCAATTTATTGGTTCTTCAATTTAATATTAAAAGTAAAATAATGATGATGATGATAATGATGGCTCTCCTGAGACTAAGGACCTGTTCTTATGATTTTGTAGGAGAGGGAGAAAATTATCTTTCCTCTGCTCACCTTGGGTTCATTGGCTGCAGTCCTGCAAATTAGTCACAAAGGACAGGTTTGCAAGGGAAGAACAAATGGAAGTTCATTATCACACGTCCTGCAGACACACAGGAGGCCTCAGTGATGAGTAACTGAAAGGAATGGGTAGAACTTGGGCTTATGTAGCATTTTAACAAAAGAACAATAAATATGTAGAGAGGTGATAAGACAAAGAAAGGGGATTTTGAGCTTCTAGAGGCAGCAAAGTGTAGGAAGGTGTCTATTATGTAGAGGAAACTAATGGAAGATAAGGGTTAGCTGGTAAAGGTTGTTAGCTTACTAAGTACAGTCTGCGCCTTGATAAGAGTCTGGCCTTGTCTTTAGTGAGTAAGCATTTCCCCCGCCCTTCCTGGTGCAGAGAAGAAGGGAGGACAGAGGATTTTTCTTGTGTCTTCTTTTTCTCAGTTGTCTTCAGCTCAAAATAGTCCTTAGGCCAAAGTGCCATGTTTCTGGGTGGCATACTTTAGTTACTTACAGTAGAATACTGATAGGTTTGATTCATTAATCTAGTATTAAACCTTGCAAATAGAAGTATGAAATACGTGTTTTTATTTCTTCTGCTGCTTCTATTTGAGAATAGCAGTTGGGATTTTAAAACCACTTGAATTATTTCAGGAGCATTTTTTTTTCACATGCAGGATGAAAAGACAGTTTCTTCCTGTTCTTTGAATAAATGATCTCAATTTCCTTAATGATTAACAGACCTGCTTTAAGCCACGTTTTGGTTTTTGTTTTTGTTTGTTTTGTTTTAAATACCTTAGTATTTGTGTATGTGCAGAACGGCGCTCCTGACGGCGTTTTCTCTCGCCTCCCAGGGGATGATCAGCCTCGTGCTCGAGTGCATTGACAGGCTGCACGTGTACAGCAGCGCCGCCCACTTCGCGGACGTCGCCGGGAGAGAAGCTGGGGATGCCTGGAAATCCATCCTCAATTCTCTGTATGAGTTGCTGGGTAAGAAGTATGATTGGGCTTTCAAGGCAACTGCTTATGCCTGTTTAAAATGGTCACATAGTACAGCGGTTTCATAACGTGTTTCCGACTTGAGGCTGTCAGTATTTACCTTCGCTCCCTAAATCCATCTCTGAATGTGAAATGGCCGGAGTGGTAGACCTGCCTGGAGTGGTAGACCTGCCTTTGGGTAAAGGAGGAGAGCCGCTCAGGGTGGAGTTGTGTAGGCGAGGCCTCAGGGTGGATGTGCCGTAAATGGTAAATGCTCCCTATTTGATTCTGAAGTGAGTCTACAAAAGCACCCCCCCCTCCCCCCCCCGCGTCCCGTCGCCCCATCTCCTTAGGGATCTCCCACTCTTCTCTCATCGTTCTGACACCTGCATTTGCAGCTTCCAGGTAGCTTCACAAACATTAAGCGACACTGGCTGTGGCTTACGATGCATTCCTGTTGGCTCTGTGCAAACATAGGTCCACCTTATTTTTGGCCTGGACAATTCCTGTAGCTTCTACTTGTCTCTTGTCGAGGACTGTGACCGGTCTGAGATTTTACCCTATTTGTGAGTGAGTGTGTTAGCCTGAAATTAGGATATAGAAGAATAGTTTATGTCTCAGAACAATGGACGTAGCCAGAATATCAGCATTTTGGTGCTAATTCCTTGAGCCCCTGTTCTCACAGGACAATATGAAGGGGATGGTTGACAGTTGCACATGTTGTCATGACACCAGACTCGTTACTGTGGTAAATAGATGCTTTTGGTGAACAAGTGCCTCATCTGCGTGTGTTTGAGGGCAGAAAAGGCTATGTACAGAGAGAATAGTGTTGTAGATAAGTCTAGATAATATGCATTTTACTTATATTTTCATATCAACTTTTTTCATAATCTGTTAGTTATTCTCTTTCACAGGCCAGTGTGCTCATGTACCCATAACTAATAAAAATGTACAGAGAGAATTATAATGATTTTTCTATAATCATGGAGAAAGTCTATTCCAGCAAGTCAACCCTTCAGTTTTATCCTCTGGGCTACTCACCCTTCAAGCCCATATTCTCTTTAACTCACAGAGGTCTTTGGGGATCAAAGCTGATTATTTTAGAACCCAATTATTAAAGCAGCAATCATAAGCTCTACAAAATGCTGCGGATGTGGTGGGTGTGAGCACAGCTCCTCATCAGAATTGTTTCTCTAGTTTGATTGTTAATGGAAACGTGGCCAGAAATGTGATTTTTCAATAATTTCCCCCTTCAAATGCAGAGAAGGAGCTGTGGTTGTAGTTGAAATGATATATCTATTAGGATGTGTTCAGTTGCAAATAACAGAATGCATCAACTCAGGCTGATAAAACATTTTGATGATACCCATCAATGGCAAAAATGTTGGGTAATATATTCTCGGTGGGAAGGTAAATTGATGACAATAAAAAAAACCAAACAAACCTTGATTGACAATATACATGACATTTTAAATGTACATATCCTCTTACTCTCAGAAATTCTACTTTAAGAATGTAGTCTAGAGATGTATTTGTACAAGTGTGGGAAGGATGTTCACTGTAAAATTGTTTATAAATAGCATAAAATTGGAAACAATTTTTCTATCAACAGGAGATTGGTTACAATAGTGTACCTTGTGGTGTAAACCTGTGTCATCATTGAAAATTGAGATAAATGTATCATTTGGACAATTGTATATGTCCAAAAGAACAGGCTATATGGCTGTTCTTTTTATGGCTATCTAGGACGTGGTCTTAAGAGAAAAACAAAAAGCAAGATGCTTACTATATGCTTAGTGAGAGTCCAATTGCATAAAATTAACATATGTAGAGAAAGATACATCCTTGCACATTCACTGGACATTTCTGAAAGGATCCACAGAAAACTGCTAGGTGGCTGCCTCTTGGAAGAGAGATCTTTTAGTTTTCTATGTGTTCTATTACATATTTATTCTTAATGTATTTACATGCATTACTTCTATAACTGAAAAAAGCAGTTAATATAAATGTGTAATGAGATAGAGAGTTGATGATGAAAGGAGAACCTAGTACATTAATTTCAGTTTAAACAGAACTGAAAAACAGAATATTTATATGGTAGTGCACTCTCCGTATCCATATGGTAGTTTTAATGGTGGTGGTTTCAGGCAAATGGAATTATAAGAAATTTTGTGGTTAAAATGTCCCTTTTACTATTCTTCATTTTCTGTTTTTTATTATAGTGAGCACTGATTTCATTCTTAGAAAAAAATAAATGAATAAAAATCTTATGTTGACTTAAGCACCATCTCTGACAATAGTTTTTACTGAAGTCAGTGAGATCATAAGGTAGGTGGCCACCTATATTTAAGTATAGACTTCACTTTGGCTGGAAAAGTCTCAGATCTGCATCAGTAAATTGGAGTTCAGTAAGACATTTTTCTGCAATTTATCCAGCTATCAAAAAGCTTGATTCAAGCAGGGAAACAATAGGGTTTCTTGTGGCCTTATGTGCGAAACAGGCCACCTTCTTTTTCTTCAGTGCGTTTATTTAGCATGGGGAAAAGGGAGTAGAAGGCGGGAATGATAATCTAGAACAACTTTCAAATTTGACGTGGATATATTTAATATGTGTTTTATGTAGATTTATGAGGTTTGCAAGCCTGCCATCTGGAGGACGTAAGGATGCCGACGCCCATGGTTTGAGGCGTTGCTGCGGCACGTGCTCATCCATCTTTTCTGACAGCCACATAGTTATCTGCACGCAACGTGCCAGCCAGCATGGTTTTCTAAAGATGTCTGAGAAATGGCTCTTGGGCAAACTCTCTCAATGATGCTAATTTTATAAAGATTCAAAGTGTGACACAAACAGGGTAAACTGCTGGGTTTTTTTTTTTTTTAGCATGCCAGAAGTTTCCAGTTTCCGAGTTCTTAAAGACTGGCAGAGGGTATAGCACTTAAGGATTTGGCATATTCAAGTCATTCCCCAGGGACATGGGAAGGCAGATATTCCTAAAAGCAATAAGCCACTGGGGGAGGCAGTCGAGAGGTGAAAAAGAGGGGTGTTGGCTTCAGACATAGACTTGTAGGTATCATTCTGCGTTTGTGCATACAGATGTTTCCTACCTTGTTCTCCAGACATTTTATACACAAGAGACATTATTGTTTTCCAACTTGGTCTATTTTCTAATCTTATGTCTATGAAATAACATTCATTCGTATATTGGTTTTTTAAAAAAAATTTTATTGGGGAATTGGGGGGTGGTAACAGCACTGCAGAATTGAGGGAAGGGGAACAGACAAGTTGCTGTCCTTTTGTTCTTCAGTCTAGTTGTGGAGGACATTGCTTCACTGGCCTAAGTTGGCACCATCATTGTGCTCTTCCTGGCGAGGCAGATCAGTCGCCGGCTTCTGGACGGCCCCTCACGGTGGCTGCTAGCTACACACAGTAGCCCATGGCAAACCACTGCAACCCAGCTCCAGGTTAAGCTGTTGTTCAGCATCTTAGCTGTAGAGGGCAGTGTCACTGGCCCTCATATGTGGGATCCGAACCGGGCCCTTTGGCATCCCAAGCCAGCTCTTAACCAATGCGCCACTCGGCTGGCCCTCATTAGTATATTGTTAATGGAAACTGATTTGATAACCAGTTTTGGGAGACACCCAGTTTCTTACTGCGCTTATGCACTCCCAGCACCTCCCCTCTTCTTATTTTTTTCTAGTTCAGGGGAGTCAAGCAACAGGAGAGCATGGTCGGGGGTGGCACAGCCAGGCCCTGGAACCACAGCTGTCTGCCAGTGCTCGGCTCCACTGTGAGCCGTGAGCATGGGCACACTGCTGTCTCTTTCTACCTTCTCCACAAGGAAGCTGGTTTGCCTCCTGATGAGGGCAGAGAGGGAGGAGAGGAGACGGCGCAGCTCTGAGTTGATTGTGTGGTGGCGGCATGCCCTTGCTCAGGGGGCGTCATCTCTGGGTCCTGGCAGTGGCTGAGTGGCTTAAATGAAGAATAATGATGTATAGAGGATGAAAGGTCTTAACTATCTTAAGGCCAATTACCCAGCAACTAAAGAGTACTTTTGGTTTAGCTTGCTTCTCCTGCATTGAGGGAAGGACATTTGTCTGGAGTTTGCATCCTTTCCTAGAAGCACCATATAAAGATATCATTGTTCCTTGGAGATGAGAGCTGCACTCTGAGACATCTGATAGCAACTGCCACTATGGACATTGATGCCATTGTTGTTCTTTTTCTTTTTGAAAAGCTGGTAACTTTATTATATTGTTTAATTTTAAAATGAATACATCTCTGTTATAAACATTAGATAATAAAAGAAGAAAGGTGGAGATGACTTTTAAACGTAGTGACCCATCTTAGTGTATGATCTTCTAAAACGATTTCTGTGAATGTCTATGCAGCATTGTGCACATATAATGCATTTCACACACCCACATGCACACGTGGCATAGCATTGTGTGTGCGTGTCTGAGCAGCACTGCGACATCAGCTGTGGCCCTCCTCCCTGAAGGTTTAGTTAGCTTGGTCCAAATCCCAGTTTGATGGACAGAGGCAGGCTCAAGGTTTCCCTTTGCTGGCTGTACATGGCAGGGGTGGGGTGGGGTAGGTGGTCACTCTGTTTCCCACTTCTGTGCTTCTTCATTATTGGTGGCTGTTTCTCAAAAGCGACATAATGTCTCTGCTGTAGAGCATTACCTCCTCACAGGTCCATACAAACTGACGTTCTTATTGAGCATTTGTGAGTTTTTAACAGGATTTATTGTCCTTGGTCAACAGGGTTCCTGTGAAGGATCATAGCACAGAACATGACCCTCCTTTCCTCCTAGCTCCATTCATCTTCCCTCCTGTTTTGGAATAAAAATATCCCCCTTTAGACCCAGGGAGAACAGTTTTCCTGTTTCTATCCCAGGCATTTACCAGGATATATTGCCCCAAAAGGCAGTTCTCGTTGTCTAAGAAATGTCCTAAAAACCAATTTCTCTGTGCTATGCGTATACTTATATTGAGTTTTCCATTTACTTCACAAAAATGGAACCATACTCCAGCATTCTTTTATAGCATTGTTTTCACACGACGTCTACATGGTGGGCACATTTTCTTGGCTGTGAACCATCAGGTTTTCGTGGATGTAAAGCCCCAACTGAAGGGATGTGTCATCATTTATTTTAGTCCACGCACCACACTCAGGGTGTTTCCACTATTTCTCTATTTTAAACTGTGGATGAGCTTCCTTGTATTTCTCTTATAATTTCCCATTATTTTAGAAACTCACTTGACTGATTTCTCCATAACTAACTTGCTGAATTATAATTCACACACTCCATTTATCTGTAAAACATACTGTGCAGGTGCATACACACAGTAGGCATTCTGTTTTACTGAGTTACATTTTTTTGTTAGAAACATACACATTTTAGAGTATCCAGACCATCCTATGACTCATCTTTGACTTGTTAACAGATTTCCTAATACATTTCTGTCTCAAGGGAGAAATGAGCCCTGCTTAACTTAATGAGGCTGATGTACTTTTTGTGGCTGATGTACTTGCTGAATACGATTTGTAAATACCATTCTTGTTAAGATTTTTGAATTTACATTCATAAGTAGGAGTTTGCTCTGGTTTTCTTATGTGCATGCTGTCAGGCGTGATGTCACATGTAAAATGAATAGGGAGGGTCTTTACTTTAGAGCAGTTTAGTACAGAAAATTTTTATTTCTTAAACATATAAAAAATTTGGGTCTTTGACATACTTCTTAATACTCTTCATGGCTTATTATTTTATTTAGATATTTTTTTCTTTAGACTGTACTCTTTTGATTCAATTTTGGTGAAAAAAATTATATATATATATATATATATATAAATTTAACATTTCCTAAGTGTTAAAAAATTCTAGTACAGAGATATTCTAGTACAGAGATATTTAAAGTAGCAGGGTTTATAATTCCTTTTTCTTTTTAATTTCGTCATTTTTCTCTTTTCTTCTTGATCAAAGTAGTTGATATTTAGCCTATATTTAAAAAACCCTTGACTAGTTGATCAGTCCTACTCCTTCAATTCATTAAATAGATCACTTCTGTTTCTAATGCAATAATTTCTACTTTTATTGCTGTTTAACTATTTTACTTATATTTATTTGGCATTTTTTCCCTATATTTTAAAAGGAATATTAACATTTTTCATCATGTTGGTTAGCAGTTAAAGGGTTTAGTTAATTTTCCCCTAAGCACAGTTTGACCATCTACCATTGGTTGTTAGGTAGCATTCCTAATTTTGATATTTACTAAATATTTGATTATTGTGGTATTGATTCCCTATTGACTCAAAAATTATTTAGGAGAGAGTTTAAATTTTTAAGTGCTTGGGTTTTATTTTTGTTTCTGCATTTCTTACTAATTTCTCATTTCATTATATTGTCATAGAATGTGGTATCCGCCATTTCTGTTTGCAACATTTAGTGAAGTTTTCTTTGTGGCTTACTGTATGATTTTCTTAAATGTCCCATGATTTATTAAAAGGGTTTACTTATTTATTTTTTATAATTATATTAAATTTATTGGGGTGACATTGGTTAGTAAAATTATATAGGTTTCAAGTGTACAGTTCTATAATACATCATCTATATATTGCATTGTGTGTTTACCACCTAGGGATATTAGGTGTTTATTCAAGACTCACCTTATCTGTAACATTTGACTGCTAGAAGATATTTAATATCTTAAATTTTAAAAACCAGAGGTAAATGAAAAGAGTGAGCTAAATCTTAAACAAGACTCTCTGCAGATTTAAAACTATCACTATATCCTCTCCCCAGTGGTTGCTGTTCTAAGTCAGGAACAGATATTCTTATGGATTATAAGTCCCACTAAACACGTAGGCCCCTCATCTACGAAGCCTCTCCCTGGAACTCGGCCTGGCAGTCGTCACCGTGTGTGTAGCTAGGCGCTGGCCCTTGGGGGCTGCTGGTCAATAATGGAGGCGTGCATCATCTTTTTATCTTTGTTCTGGGAACTCTGTGCACAGGCAGCTCTTTTCTTGCAGCTGTAATAATAGAATCGGCCTGTGTTTTCTGTCATGAATACTCTTGTTACTCTCTGGCCAGATAACTTATTTCGGGGAAAGAGGAAATGTGAAGGAGTCTTGAAGTTTATTGCACTCAGTCACTATAGGGTCTCCTCTGTTTTGCTGTTAACAAGGAGGTGACCACACAGTGCCCTCACACTTTAGTTCCTCAAACTGCTCCCTAGCAATACCAGACTTTAGTGATTCTTCTTTTTTTTCTTTTCTTTTTTTTTTTTAATTAAAGTTTATTGGGGTGACAATGGTTAGTAAAGTTACATAGGTTTCAGGAGTACAATTCTGTAATACATCATCTATCTATCACATTGTGTGCTCACCACCCAGAGTCAGTTCTCCTTCCATCACCATATATTTGACCCCCTTTACCCTCATGTACCACCCCCTTCCCCGCTTACCCTCTGGTAACCACTGAACTGTTGTCTGTGTCTATGAGTTTTGTTTCTTTATTTGTTTTTCTTGTTCTTCCGTTGTTTTCAGTTTTATCCACCACATATCAGTGAAATCATATGGTTCTCGACTTTTTCTGTGTGACTTATTTCGCTCAGCATAATCTCAAGATCCATCTATTTTATTTATTTACTTTTTTAGCTGAGACATCCTGCCACTTATTGGCAGCTCAGCAGCAGCTCAGCTTGGGCTGGGAATTGAACTGGCTACTCTGTTGCTCAGAGTTCGCACACTTGAGCAAGCTCTTAACCAACTGAGCCACTCAGCCGGCCCCATCTATTTTAAATAGTGATTCTTCTTAGGGCAACATCTTTTTCCCATTAAATACCATATTATATAAAAATCTCACCAACCCTTCATAAACACTTATACTGTTTCTGACCCATCTTATGGATGTTAAGAGTAGCATTTATATAAAATATTTACCAGATTTATCTTGAAAGATTTGAATGATTTTGAAACATTGAAAGCTTTCAATTGAGTATACAGATTGGGTTGAAGGAGATTGTAAGGTCACATTAGAATTTCATATAAGATGGGTTCTTTGGTTAAAGTGTAGAAAATATTAGGTTAAGCAAAGGTAGAATAGGTGACTTTACTGCCCAAGTTCTCAGAATCCTTGATATGCATACGAATCTCTAAATGGAAAGAAGAGATACAGAAAAAAACAAAAAGATTTTCCAGCTTATTAGCCTTTGACCCTCCCACCCTTTTTTCTTTTTTTTTCTTTTTTTTTTTTTTTAATGGAGATAGTCTCAGAGACACAGAGGAAGAACTGAGGGTTGTTAGTTGGGAGGGGGTGGGGATGAAGGAGAGGGGAAGGGATGAGACAATACAAATTGGTAATTGTAATATGGCCTCAGGGATAGAAAAAGATAGTCCAAGGAATACAATCAATAACGTTGTAAGCATTTCGTAGGGAGCCAGATGGACCAATGCCCTTTTGGGGAGTCCACTTCATAGTTGATGTGGAGGCCTTACCAACCCACCCTTTTTTCTTGTACCATTTCATTATATCTGTCTGTGTGCCTGTTGGAGTTAGTAGTTGTATCTCCCAGTATTTTGTGCTGCATTTTCAGGAAAACTGATGTATTCCTAACTTCAGAATATAGGTGAGAATATGAAGCTCTAGGGAAATTAAATAATTTAGCCTCATAGCTAATTAAAAGCAGTGGGTATTAGATCCCTAATGAAGGAACTCCCAGGACACTGGTTTCCCCATTATCCTTTGTGATTACCTCCCTATGTGAACTGTTACCTTCTCAGAGTGCATCTCTTCTAAGGACCAGCGTTTCCAGTCCCTGTTAATACCTCAATTTAATGTCTCAATTTTGTGTGTGTGTTTGTATATGTTTTAGATATAAAGTAAAGATATTTTGTTCTTGATCTAACATTTTAGGTCTACTGTTAGTTTACCTTGTATTTTAAACTAGAAAATCACATAAGTGTGAGATCTGCTTTCTCTCTTTCAGCGGCTCTAATTAGAGGAAATCGTAAAAACTGTGCTCAATTTTCTGGCTCCCTCGACTGGTTGATCAGCCGATTGGAAAGACTGGAAGCTTCTTCTGGTATGTTTTCCAGTTATCTCCTTGTATGATATATTATTCCTATGTGCTTCTTTTTTATGTGTTTTAAGATATAAAAACAAACTCTGACGTTCAGTGTGATTTAATTGTTTTCCTCTTAATATGTTAGGTATTTTACTTAATGATATACTATCAGCATTTTTATTAGTTATTTTTGAAAAGTAGTCTAACAGTACCTGGTTCATTTACATTTAAAAAATAGTGAAGTCCAGGTGTCTACGGCAGAGCCAGGGTTCCCATCTTTCCCAGATCAATTTTTCCTAATGTACTGTACACACAAAAGGGTTGGTTTTCCAAGTAACATAGCACAATATTTTATTTACAGGGGATTTAGTAAATACTAATAAACAGTCTGTTATAGTGAAATAGTCATAGGCAATTAACCTGATACATCTGTCTCTAACATGTATCTTATTTTTATTCGTTGTTGTGGCAACTTCTAGATGAGTCCCAGGTCACATGAGCTCCTTAGCACTGTTGATGGCCTCAGCGATACCCTGCGCTGACCCTATCTGCCCCTCCACCCATTGGCACAGCATTTCATTAGTTGCCCTTCTGTAACACAGATACCCTTTATGTTATTTACTTTTTCTCTCCAGCTGCTACACTAACATGAATTTGAAGGGAGGGGCTTGATTCCATTCTCCTTTGTCTTCTCTGTGTCTATCGTACCTCTGGCACCTAGTAGGTGTTTAGTAGTATTTGTTGAATGAGTGAATAAATGAATGTTTGAACTCTCTTAAGACAGTGCCTGTCAATACAGAAATAATTCCATGGCTTTTGCATGATAAAGACCCACCCATTCGGGGACAGATTGGTAAGAGAGATAGAAGAACTGATGGCTATTGTCAAGGAGGGTCGTTTTAAGTCACAGAGCAAAATTTCAGAGTTTTCAGATGTAGAAGGAAGAGAAATTTGAGTCACAATGAGTGCTAAGATGTTGCTGGATTGTTGGGTGGCAGAAACAGAGTAGAGATATTGTTGAGATAAGAAGTACAAGATTTATAAGATGAGGGGTTTCGGGGTATCTCAATGTGAATGAAACAACAGACTATATTGAATGAAGAGAAAACTGAATAACTCCTGGGAGGAAGTGACCAAATTAATGGTAACAAGGTGATGGCAGTGATTGCAAAAATTTTGGTGTACATTCTTGGGTCAAAGTGTTCAGAATTGTGGCAAGCTCCAGTAGATACAAAAGAGCACACTGATCCCTTCTCTTGGCCCTGGGGTATCTGGACAGAGGAGCCAGTGACCTTGAGGTCAGAGTGCTAATGCTGGTCCATCAGCCATTTGCCTTAAATGCTCAAAGGACAAGAGGAGAGAGGGAAAGAACAGAGCGAGCATCCTCGACTCTCAGCCAAGGAGTCTGGTGTTTGCGGCTGGAGTTCTGTAAGTTACAAGCACAGTTCCACTGCATCCTATTGCTAATTGTTATCTTTTCCCAATCCAGCCGTTGGTCACAGGCACTTCTACTTACGATAGAAGAAGCCCTGTGCTCCCTCAGAAAGCCTAGTGAAAGTCAGGAGTGGGAAGGACCCTTAGACAATGCTGAGCTTAACATTCTCAGCTTAGAGGAAAGGAAACTGAGGCACAGAACATTTTTTTTTTTTTTAGCTGAGCCATCCTGCTACCTGTTGGCAGCTCAGCGGCTGCTCAGCTCGGGCTGGACTCGAACCGCTGTTGCTCAGAGCTCAAACTCTTGAGCGAGCTCTTAACCAACTGAGCCACTCGGCCGGCCCTTGAGGCACAGAATATTTAAATGCCTGATTTGAGATGCTGGAATTAATTGTCATAGCCAAGATAGAAAACCCAGCTCCCTTACATCAGGCTTGAAAAGACTTTACTGTACCTTGCAGCCTCCTAGTTTTTAAGGATCAAAATTTTTTTTCGCTGAACACTTTTCTCTACTGTAGTTACATTTTTGCTTTTAATGGACATACTCCTAGAGGGAATGGAATGTTGCTGATTTTACAGAGACAGTAACAATAATATGCATATTTACATAAATAAATTTATATATCAATTAATTTATATGTAATATATATTCATGTAGTATTTGTATATTATATAAAGAAATATATACCTGTATTTCAATCATGCATTATTATTTAGCAAGTGCATCATCTTTTTTTCTCCATCTTGAGATTACTGACCACACTCGCTCTGCTCAGTGTGTCAGTCTCCCACCTGCACTGCTGGTCTGTATGTCTGTATATGAGCAGCAGAGCAAAGCCAGGGGCTCTGTGAGCTCTAAATTTCCTTCAGAAAAGGTCAGTGGACAAAAAAATAAACCTGTGCGAACTTAGACAGACGTCTGATGAGGACTTGAAAAAAGCAAAAGGATGCGTTAACGAAACAGCTTCCCTTAGTTTGGGTTCCCGCTGAAGTAGATATTGCGTAAAGGATGGAGGGGCACATTTATTTGGGAAGTGAGCGGATGTTCGACAGGTAGAGAAGGGGCCAGCGAGGGTGCGTTGACCAGCACGGTCCCGCCCTGGGTAACTGGAGTGTTTTCCTTGAGGAATTCTAGGAAACCATAGAACATGGCGTTGGGATGCTTAGAACTGAGTTCTCCCTGTCACTGGTGGCACTGCTCCCGGGGCTCCCCCAGCTGCCACAGTGGGCAGAGCAAGCTCTAACAAAGCAGGAGCTGGCAGTCGGAGGTCAGGCAGCGTTCACTGAGCTGAGAGGCTGCGAGTGTGAGCTGGGCCCTGCAGTATCTGCTACCCAGCTAACTGTTTCCCTCTTTATGTGATAGAGAGCCTCAGAAAGGCCATGGATGGATTTTTTTTACACATTCTGCATCATCTGAAGTTGATCAGTATCACTACCCTGTTTCCCTGAAAACAAGACCTAGCTGGAAAATAAGCCTTATCATGATTTTAGGTGCCAAAATATGGCACCTTGGCATCCTGAATATTTTAAGCTGAAGGAGTTTGTGGAAAAGGCACCCTTCTCCCGGAAACAGGTCATAAAACCCTCATGTGAGGGGTGCGTGCCCTCCATGTCCTGGAGGGATCATGCTAAGGCTTCTTCTCTGGCTAGGTCTTATTTTCAGGGAAACACGATAGAATATAAAGCTCCAGAAAAGTATTTGATCAGTTTATAAGAATTACCACTATGGATTTCTTTGGGGGGAAAGATAAGCTAGACATTGTCGCAGGCTTCATGTGTGACTGTTTCACATGAATTGAACTGATGAAGAGAAAAGGTTTGTGTGAGCCAGTACAGTTGATAAAGCTGATAGATTGCCCAAGGCTGGGTTTTCTCTAGGATGTGCCCACATAGCATTTCAAGAGGCAGCTGGCTAACAACAGTCAGCTGGTCGAGAGGCTGCACACTTTTTCTGAGTCTTATTTTTCGTGTGGTGTATTCCCCAGAGTTCTGCAAGTGGCCTCCGGGATGCATGTCACTTCCTCCCACTCTTAGTAAATGCCATGAATGAAGTTCCCTCCGGGTATAAGCAGAATAAGGAGTCTTGGAGAGGTCTTGAATTGCTGAAGCTTTGCACTCACCTATAATGCAACTTCTGGTACCTGGAAATGTGATACTTTCATGCTTCCAAAGATGCAGCAGCCGTTTCTGGCGGAGCATAAGCTCATGACCTTTCAAAGGAAAGAGCTTGTAGCCTATGGAGCAAGACGCCCCAGAACCTTGTGTGCAGGAAGCTCCTCTTCCTTTGTATCTAGTCAGGTGTGAGCAGTCAAGTTACAAAGAGGATAGGCTCTCAGTACAGTGTATGGGGTCCACTGTTCATGATGCAGACGTCACAGCTAACCTTCCTGAGTGACCCCAACAGTTCATGCAACACTAGTGACGACAGAGGAGACAGTTTTCCAGGAGATGCCCTTGGAGAAGGCAGTGTAGCCATTGATTCAAAGCTTTTGGTTGTGCAGAAAGTCAGCTACGGTGTAACCATGAGGTTGAGCCTTAGGAGAAAAATGGACTCAGAATCATGATGGCATGGGAGACTCCTTATAGAAACTCTTTTATGAAAGCTGTTGGGGTCAGTACTTGTTTTACCCTATTTCCGCTCACCGTGGTCCCCCATCCCTATCCTTAGCACATTACAGTAATCGGTGTTTTTAATAACGATCCTGGGTCATCAAAATATGTAAATTAGGTTTAATGCTGATGGTTTAATTAAGAATTGATAAGGAAACAGAATACATTTTTTTAAAGATATTCATTCTAAATGTTTGAAATAATGTATTAGCAATGAAAGGTTACTGATTTAATAGATAGTTAAGACCCTGGTCAAAAATTACTAATTTTTGAATGATGCTGGAAAGGTCATCATGCCATCACTTTCTCCCTTCCCATCTCAGCAAAGCATTAAGTTGTAGCTAGAAAGAAAAAGAGGACAGAGAGCAGCAGATCTGAAGTTGGAGGACTTCCTGTATTTCGATATATTTTACCAATAATGTGAAAAGTGGGAAAAGAAGTCCCCGAAAGTGAAGCCCAGAGAAACAGAACTTTCCTTCCTGAATGGAAAAGTGGTCAGAGTTGCTGGGTTGTCTGAAATCTTTTTCCTCTTCAGAATGGTTTTCTAAAAGCCTGTGTGTGGAATAGATGGCAGATTTCATTTCTAGAAAATGGTTCTTGAAATGAAAAAAAAAAATCAATGATCTCCTATTTGAGAAAAAAAGTTTAATGCTTTGCGACATACAGTTGACTGATTTTATAATCATTTTCCCTAGTTACTCTTTTAACCACATTGCTCATTTCTAGCACAAGTCCTAACAGAGCAGTTTAATTTCTCCTGCAACTTTACTTACCAACTTACCTTATTTTAATGACTAACCTTGATTTCACTTCTTCATGCTTATCAATCAATATTTTTCCTGAATTTTTCATCTGATCAGTGTTGTTCTTTCAGCGTTTCTCTACCTTCTCTTAATTTTTAACCTCTCTTTATAAAGAAGCATATTTGTACTGTATCCATGTTGATCCTTTTTATTTCATTTCTCTTGTCTTTTGTATTAATTTCATCACAACTGTAAAATAATAGCAGGTGCTGTGGAGCACTGCTTGGGCCCAGGCCCTGTTATAAATGTTTTGCACATATTATGCCTCTTGGCATTCCCAGGGTTGGTACCATTATTATTTTCATTTTAGAAATCGGAACACTGGAGCACAGAGAGGTTATCACTTGCCTAAAATCAGCCCAGGCTTCAATCCGGGCACATGAGCTTGAGTCCATGTTTGTAACTACTGCATAACACAGCAGGATAATAACAACACCTCTTATGACTATATTCCTTCATTAAGCCTTGTAAATATCAGGTGTGCCAGTCCCTCTGTTGAAAGGATGACAGTCCATCACATACGCATCACTGCGTCCAGGAGCAGTCTAGCAACAGCTGTAGAAGCTTTGACCTGTCTGCTTGTTTTGTATTATGTGTTTTCATGTTCTCTTTCAATCATTTTCCAGTGTGTTTCCATCAGTTTTTTATTTGTTTATCACTTTGTTAGATTTAATGACCCAGGGTAAAATACAAACTTTCCTATTTCCATTTGCCTTAGGTGAGCCATAGGGGTATTAGTAAAAAAGCCTGACCAAAAAGTTACATGACTTTTAACTTTCAGGTAGGGGGGAAATAAAAGCATCCTGTGTTTTGAATAATTTGGAATCCCCAGTTTTTCTACTTTGTCGCTGGTCCTGCAGTGGACACCGCAGTTGTGTGTTTCCTTCACTAGGGGCGGTCTGATTCATACCAATCAGCACTAGGTTGATGTCTTCCTGTTTGCCCACCTCTAGCTTAGACTGAGGTTTCCATGTTGAAACTGTCAGCAAAAGCCATGCTCTCCTTCTGGAATTGTTCAAGGTCATTACTCCCACTCATGATAGAGACAGAAGAGAGCCTACTCTCCTCTCAAAGCTGAATTCCACCCACGTACCCCTCATGCACTGAGAAGTAGGCTTCATCAAAACCCACAACAACTAGGTGATCTGCGATTATTTTAATTTTCTTGTATTTTTGCAAAACAGTTGTAATGCTCAGTGAGAGAGCAATACCCTGGGTGAGTTGGCACTGAGCTTTCTAAGTCAGTGGTTTTCCTGTGATGATCATGGGAGCATGAGTCTCACTGTCCCCACATTGGCCTCCTGTGCCTGAGTGGCTACCAGTCCAATTCTGTTCATTCCTTCTCTCACGTGTGCTAGATTCACCAGTAAACTTGTGCCTGCTTGGTATGGGTAAAATCCCCAGGCTCGACTCTTCCAGGGAGGCAGCAGCAGGCCAAATATTGCACTTCTGCTCTGTGGCTTGTTTCCAGTTATTCCATGTAGACCCTCAACAAATATTGTCTAACTTCGGGCACAGTCAACTTAAATCGCAGAGGAAGCTCCCGCAGTTTTGGAGGCCAAGTAACAAATGTGTAAGTCAATCAATAAAGAGCAAACTGGGCCACTGTCCTTGATTACAAAAAACACAGTGAGACGTGTCTCTACCATCAAAGCCTTGGGTGCTCCAAGTACCATCAGGTTTTTTCCAGACATTTTGCCACATCTTCAGGGACTTTTCTTTATCCTGAGACTATAAATATTGGGTTGTCAGAAAAGTCATTATGCATTTTTGCAACAAAAAACATAGAAAAAATACGTCATGACTTTTCCAACAACCCAATAATTTAGGGAGTTACAGCCAAAACAGTTTTAAGGCAAATAGCTGAATATTACATGCATTATACATATAATGCTTGCAACCCTGCATTTCCCGTGAGGCAAAACTGAACAAGTCCCTGTTCTCAAGGGCCCATTGTCTAATGGGAGATTGAAATGAATGTAAATAATTCCAATAAGATGTGATCAGTACTATAAGAAGGAATAATTCATCCCAGGATATTGGGAAAGACTCACCAAATGAGGTGACTTTCTGCCACCTCCTATGTTGCAAGATGATTCAGATTTTGCAGCCTCAGAAGACGGGAGTGTATTTAGGTCTGAGGATAACACATGCAAAGGACTGAAGGTGAGAAAAATGCTGCAAGCTCCAACAGGGCCCTGCAGGGTTTCTCTACTGCTGATCCCCATTGCCAAGAACAGTGCCTGGTAGGTGCTTAGTAAATATGTATGAATCATAGTTAATAAAAGCACATGTATAATCATTCTTTGTAGGAGGAGGTGATGGCAACTGAGTCTGTAAAGGCAGGGTAAGCCATCTGCTGAGGGACTGACATGCCACAGGCAGTGGGCTTCCGCTTTGGAAGGTCTGAGAAGCCATTGGGGATTTTATGCAGGGAGCTGACAATGATTAAATGTGTGTTTCAGGATAATTACTGCCCAGAGTCTAGAGGGTGGATTAGGGAGGGAGGATAGATGCCAGGCAGGGAAGTCACGGGAGGCTAGTCAGAGAAAGAGAGGATGAATTTAGCAGACAAATTAGGACCTAGGATTAATGAAGTTTAATGACTAGATTTGGGAAAATGAGAAAGTGGACGAGGATTCAAAAATAACCTGAAGCTTTTAGCGTGAAGATATAGATGGAGCAGAGAAGCAGCTTTACATGTGTATGTACAGAAAAAGGTAATCTGTTCGGTTTTGGAAAAGCTGTGTGGGAGGCACGTGGAGACATTCTAGTATGTCCAAAAAACAGGCTGTGGTATTTAACACCCACCTGGACTAGTCTACCTGTGTCCTGGTTCCTCCTCCTTACTAAGGCACAGCGTGCATACTGAAGGCTGCACCTGGTTTGCTGCTGTGCCCTACTCAGCCCTGACAGCATCCCTGCGTGCTATAATGTGTGCTCCATGAGTGGGAGGGAGCAGGTTTTGTTGATGCTTACTTTAGATTTATGAATGAAAATTAGTTCACGTAACAGGCCAAGTCTAAGATACAAGATAAGACTTATATAGAATTGCCCATGGATTAGAAGTTAATTATAATTGTATTATAATTATGATTATATACTATATAGAACACAGGCAGAGAATGTTACTGCTCATTTGCTGCCAGGAATACTGAGGATTGATGAGGTTGCAGAAATTGATTAAGTACTGAGATTTGATGCAGAATAAAATGGAAATAGACGTGGCTCCTGTTGTGTTATGGTTCTTTCTAAAAGTGTTTCTTTTTTCAGGTTGAAGCAAAATAATCTTTTAATTATTTGAATTTCCTGTCTATCTTTATGTTCCCATTCTCATTTCTTTTTTGAAATTGTGATAGAATCAATGTATAACATTATATTAGTATCCGATGTACAACATAATGATTTGATATTTGTATATGCTGTGAAAGGATCACCACAGTCACTCTAGTTAACATCCGTCACTGCACATAATTACACATTTTTTTCTTGTGATGAAAACTTTTAAGATCTACTATCTTAGCTACTTTCAAATACACAACACAGTAATATTAAGTGTTGTCACCATGCTGTACATTATATCCCCAGAGAAAGACAAATACTGTATGATCTCACTTACATGTGGAATCTAAAAACATAACCAAAAAACAAAAAATCCCAACTCATACGTACAGAGAACACCAGGCGTGCCCTCCACTCCTGACTCCACTTGGCCCTGTATTGCCCTTTTTTTCCTCTGGAAATGAGCACGGGTGTGGTCTCCATAGCCCCACTGAAATGCTGCTTTTTTTTCATACCTCTCCTGGGGCTGAACACTGTATCTTTGCCTTTTCCTCACTAGGCTGTGATTCATCATCTTTGGTTATCAGTCGTCTCCTCCCAGACATGACCTGTCCCCTATCACAGTGCCCTGTGACAAATACATTGAACACATGATAATTATATGTTCAACTGAAAGAATGCACAGAGAAGAAGGAAGACTGATCATTGTAGACTGGTTAACCATATTTTCCCTTTCTTTTTTTAAATCTTTAGGTATTCTTGAAGTTTTGCACTGTGTGTTAGTAGAAAGTCCAGAAGCTCTAAATATTATTAAAGAAGGCCATATTAAATCCATTATTTCACTGTTAGACAAGCATGGAAGAAACCACAAGGTCAGTGAAACTTTTGATGGACATGAACAAATTCTGGAATAATTTAAAATATATATTTAAAATAAAATAACTTTAAAAGGTGTGTCCATTTTTCCATGAGAGTTTTTCATCTCTATATTATAACCAGGTGATATTATTTAGTGTGTTTTCGCAGCATCAGTGGGAGGATGAGCAGTTCTCAATTTGTGTATGGAGGACAGTTGTGAAGTAAATGGACACATCACTGTTCTGTTTAAATGACAAGATCAGAGGTGACTAGAGGAAACGTGTTTGCATGTGTGACAAGCGCTGCCAATACCTGACTGTGGTTGGGAATTAGGGTCAGCTGACAGTGATTTCTGTTCCCAGGTTCTGGACGTCTTATGCTCTCTCTGCGTTTGCCATGGAGTAGCAGTCCGTTCCAACCAGCATCTCATCTGTGACAATCTGCTGCCGGGAAGGGACCTGTTACTGCAGACACGCCTTGTGAACCACGTCAGCAGGTAGATTCATACACACAGCGCCACCAGTTTGGTAGCCTAACAAAGGAATCCATGTGTTTGCTCTACAGCTAAGACATTAGATGGTCTGTTTATTTTGTTAGGGTCTTTTATGTATTTCTCCAGTTAATGGTATGAGGACTTTTTCCTACCACTCAGATGAGAAAATAAGAATAGATGAACCAAGAGCGATACGCACTTAACACAGACAAACGCGTAATGGCTTTTGTTTCACATTCTCATGTAGCTGGATTATCACTGACTCTCAGGAGCAGGCTGGCAGTGGAATACAATTATGTTTTACACCTTCTTAAAACACTGGGGGTGCAAAAAAATGTACACAAGTGGACACTTTGATCGACGTTGCTCAAGCAGTAGTTTGCTGTAATCAGAAGTGTCTGGACGCTGATGGTAATCACTTTGAGCACCTCTTGGAATTGCAGAAATCAAACGTGACTTGTATTCATCTTTGGTTAGCGGTGTATATTATTACAATTTTAATAGTTTTTTTCCTTTCTTAAAGAGTGTATACATTTTTTTTCACCCTCTATATAACTGAAAACACTACCCTTCAATACCAATGTTGAATTTCCTGCTATTTATAATTTAAAAAGTTGAATTAGAATGTCCAAGATATACTAAATTCCATGACTAACCAATGAAACTACATTTTCAGGTAGATCTACCTTCCGAGGTATCAAATATTCACTGAGGACTGGGTGCTCGGCACCAGGCCAGTGCTTTATGTGTATTCTGAACTGTCTGTGTTTGTACAAGGTGTTGTTATCACATGTTACTGATTGAAATATGGGAACCAGAAATGGAACTCGGTCTACTCTGGAGACTGAACTCATGTCACAGTGCCTTCCTTATACAAAATAGTAGTAGTAATAGTAATCATAATCATAATAATAGTAATAGTAAAAATGCAGCTTACAGTTAAGAAAATATGTGTGATAGTAATAACTTTGATACACTGTATCTAGCAGCTGTTTAGGAAATGCTATGTCACTGTTTTAAACATAAATGTAGGGTTTGGTGTTTATTTCTATTTTGTGTTTTTAAAATAGGATTAATTTATTACTTCCTTCATGGTTCTCTATAGAATAGATCTGCTGTTACTGAGTGGCCTTTCCCGAGACCTTCTCTAAACCCTAGAATTAACATGGGGTACAAGTTCCCGTATGAAATACAATTACATACAACTACTGTAGCTAGAAATTCTTCTATGCAAAGTGAGGCATAGAGAACAACAAAGCTCATTAGTCACCTCATTCCTACACTAACTACACGACACGCTTCAGCCTCGTACCCCATGTGACATGAGCATAGCTTCGGAAGATGTCTCCATGTCCTGGACTAATATCAACTCCATTAATTCTCAGGGCCAACTATACTGAGTGTCTCTCCTGAAACATGGTTAATGAAATAAAATATACCCAAGAGCAAATAAAAAAGCATCATATCAGCCCCTGGGGTGACATGTAGGTAACACAGAAAGCAAACACCATTCTCTGAAAGTCAACTGGCTGTCATAATGATTATTTTGCAGTACTTAAGGAAAAATATATTTAATACGATGCATCTCAGAAAGGCAGGACTGATGTTCAAGACAGTGAGGTTTAAATTAAAACTGAAAAGTTTGTTCGGGTTTGCTCATGTGCATTTCTCTCTCTTTAAAGCATGAGACCCAATATTTTTCTGGGTGTCAGTGAAGGGTCTGCTCAGTATAAGAAATGGTACTATGAGCTGATGGTGGACCACACGGAGCCATTCGTGACAGCTGAGGCGACTCACCTGCGTGTGGGCTGGGCGTCCACGGAAGGGTACTCCCCCTACCCCGGCGGGGGTGAGGAGTGGGGCGGGAACGGCGTGGGAGACGACCTCTTTTCCTATGGATTTGATGGCCTGCACCTCTGGGCAGGTAAGCACTGTCCATGCTCCTTCACAGCGTTTTTGAAAGAAATCTTGTCCTTGCTGAACGTTTCTGAAAACTATTGGTGTGGCTTATACTAGATACATTTATTATTCACAAATTTAGCATTGAAGTGCTGAATTAGAATGTTAAGTAAAAAGCAAAAGTTCACTTGGAAAGAGAAAACTTACAATTATAGTACATTTTCAATAGACTGTATAGTTTATGAACAGTTTACAAAGACCCCCAGTGGATGCTTGAAACCACAGATAGTATCAAACCCTATATATACTGTGGGTTTCCCTGTACATACGCACCTTTTCACTTAAAGGAAGCACTTCTGGCTTCTCTTTGGCATATCCGAATTGCCGGCATCGCTACTCTTAGGCTTTGGAGACATGATTAAGTAAAATAAGGGTGAGTTGAACACAAGCATGACAGTCTATCAGACACCTAGATGGTTACTAAGTGACTAATGGGCATAGAGACACTGGATACAGGGGTGGTTTACATCCTGGGCAGGACAGGGTAGGATGGCGCGAGCTTTTATCATGGTACTCAAAGCAGCATGCAATTTAAAACGTGAATTGTTTATTTCAAGAATTTTCCATTTAGTATTTTCTGACCATGGTTGACTGTGGGTAACTGAAACCATGGAGAGGGAAACTTGAGATAAGGGGGCCTTCTGTGTTTAAAAAGTGACATTTTGATTCATGAATCAACCGCAAAAACCTTGTTTGTTTCTTACTTACTGTGATTGGTCTTTAGCTCCCTATGTAAAAAAAGAGCCAAACACAATCCCTGGAAAATAATTGGAAGAAATCGACTGTGTTCCACTTACAGATAACGTAATGTGAGGATTCACTCATTTGTAACACGTATTATGAGGAGTCAGTTCATATTCACATGACAGTTTTAGAATGTGGCACTTTAAATGTAAACGTATAGTTCATTTCACCTGCTACCAACTCTCAGCTTTGATGATTGAATATATATTAAAAATGAGTGACATACATTAAAAATAATACTCTTTTCCCTGATTTATGAAAAGTTGTATTTAAATGGTTGGCTCCATTTAAACATTTAGCTCTTGAATATGTGGATGTTTGTTAGATATTGGAATTCACCTGAATTCTGCAGACACTGGCTGTGTTCATAAATCTGCATTTAGAACATTGCTCTTAAATTATTTTGCAACAAATGAAGCATATAGAAAACACAGAAAGCTACCTTAAATGCTGAACTTTGTCTCTTAGGGGTACAATGAGAGTCATGTATTAGAGTTGTATAGATCTAATAGCTTAGAAAAAGACATTTAAAAATTAAATGGAATTCGACCCAGGAATTTATGGCAATGAGTTTATAAATAGAAGCATTCCATGTAATCTTAACCTACATTAGTACTTACTGACTTTTTCCTTTGTTCAGTGCCAATAGCTCAAGTCGTCTGGAAGAGAGGGGGCTGGAGTTTGCATATTTGATTGAATCCCTGGGACTGTCTTATACACAATTGTTCTGTGATGGTCAGACTATATAATCACAGTGCTTGTTCCCATCACACAATTTTCTTACCAACCAAATGAAGGCAATGAACAGCAACCTGAGAAGAACTAGCAAACACAGAATAGAGTTAATGTCTATTTTATAATACTCTTTAGCTCAGGCCCTCTCTCTTTACCTCCTAGTATCACTCCCCACGAAATGGGTAAACTCAGGGGAGTGAAAGGAAAGTGCTAACTTCTTCTCCCATCACACGTAGATGAGTGGGGGAAAGTTACTCTGATAAAACAACGCTGAATTCTTTGTAATTACTTTAGCCATATAATGAATGCCACTTCGCCATTTTTATTTTCACATTTAGTTTGAAGCTTTTTCTTCCAACACACAGAACGTGCTTATGGAATTGAACTGTATGTGCTATGCCGTTACGTATCTGTTAAAAATAGAACACTAAGAACAACAAATTCCATGAATCTGTGAAAATATCACAGAAAGAACATTAGGTTGTGGAATTTCAGGAGAAAATCACCTTGAAACTTCATGTCAAGAGACTTTTTTTTTTTTTAATTACAAGAAAATGTGCACCATATCATGCCTATAGTTAACTGGTGTGTTCTCTCAAGCACTGGGATTTTAAATGCTTTTTTTAAATATAATTTTTTATTTTTCAATTACAGTTGACATACCATGTTATATTAGTTTCAGGTGTACAGCATATATAACTTAGGAAGTGATCCCCCTGACTAGTCTTGTACCCACCTGGCACTATACATAGTTATTACCATATTATTGACTATACTCCCTATGCTGTACTTTACTGTTTTTATAATCTTTCCCACCTTTTTACCTACCCCTCAACCCCCCTCCCATTCATTTTATATTTCTAATCAAAAAGACAAAAATAAATAGATTGGCTTCTGACTGACTCACCAAGGTCAACTTCGTAGTAATTCAGATAATCTTCTTGGGGCCACTTTCCTATTCCTTGATGTTTAATAGTTGAAATAGAATCTAAAGTATCAAATATCTGTGATTTCTGGGCACATTCTTTACCACTTAGCTGTTTTCATTGGAGAAGGAAGATGGAACCTGAATTCGGCTCCTCAGCCAAAGTTTTGAGCTGTGTCTTTATTCTTTCAATTTAAACTTTGCACAGCGTTGCCACGTTCCCCCTTGCAGAATTGGATTTTGGGCATCGAAGTCCCACGTGTTTGTGAGGCCAAAGTGTGAAAAATCTGGGTGGTTTTGGAGAATGTAAACAGGGAAGATGGGGACAGACTTGTAATCCAGGACTGATAAATCATGCCCCACTGAATTCCTTTCCAGCTCATGCAGAGAACGTAGTTTTAGGGTTCTGATCGGAGTTCAGAGTGTATGCTCTAACCACTGAACCATCCAACTGCCGTTGGCAGCTCAGCAGCTGCTCAGCTCGGGTGCAGCTCACTGGCCCATGTGGAAATCGAACCGGCGACCCTATTGCTCAGAGCTCGCACTCTTAACCAACTGAGCCACTCAGCTGGCCCATAAATTCTGACATAATGAAGAATGGGCTTGGGCCACACATAGGCTGGCCAGGTCAAGAAATGGCATGTATCAAAGGTCATTTTCATGCGTCATATTGTGTGCTGCTGTATTTAAGATGCCAACCAAGATCTTATGTGAATTAAATTGTAAAACAACAAACTGATTGTGATATATTTGTCTCTAGGAAATGATCACTTTTTCTGCTTCATAATCCTTGTGTATTTTTATTTTATAAAACAAAGGAAACCTGATAGCTTAAAAAGGGACTGACATGAAATACCTGCTGTATCTGAGACTCTAGGTTCTTATAAATCATTAATTTAATCATCACAACAACTCTACAAGGTGATGACATTTGGTTTACAAGAAATCAGGCTTTAGAGAGGTTAAGTCATTTGCTGATGGTCATACAAGCACTATTTCAACTCAAATCTTTTCCTGGACGTTTTTCATCTGACATCATTATATTATCTTCTCTATGATGAAAATGCCACCCATCTACCAGCAGAAGTTTCTGCCTATCAAAAGGTCCATTTTATAACAAAGATAGCAGCATGCCTCCTGAAAAAAAAGCAACTTTTTTTTTTGACAAAGGACTTAACATATAGCATTATTTGCATTCGAGGTTTATTGTATTATAGTGTTGTGCATTGATTTGTCACTGCCCATTCAGATCTCTGACTCGGGCCCTGAGTTGATTCTCTGAGATAAACACACATCTCCGTCCTTCGTGTTTTCTCTCCCTAGGTTGTATTGCTAGGACTGTGAGCTCGCCAAACCAACATCTGCTGAGAACTGATGACGTCATCAGTTGCTGTTTAGATCTAAGTGCCCCAAGCATCTCATTCCGAATTAATGGACAACCTGTTCAAGGAATGTTTGAGAATTTCAACATTGATGGCCTCTTCTTTCCAGTTGTTAGTTTCTCTGCAGGAATAAAGTTAGTATTTCTGTGTTTTTGGTCTGTATCTCTTCTCACTTACACTGTCACAGAAGATTGTACTGTCACCACTCCTGCTTCCTTAACCTTCTCTCTCATTCCTGGGCATCTGTCCGCAGGGCACGCTGTCTGTTCTTAAAGAAAGAGGTAAGATTCAACCTAGAGGGGAGTCTGGGGAGACTGAATGCTTTGTCCACATATCCAAACATTTAGATGTGGGCACTGACTCTCCCTCAAACCAGTGTCCTAAAATATTTCAAATCCATTGAAGTTCACTTTTTTATTTAATAAGGGGAAATGAATAACATTATAAAATACCACTTATTTTCATTATTTTATTTATTTTATTTAATTGAATTTTTTTTTTAGCTGAGCCATCCTGCCCCCTGTTGGCAGCTCAGCGGCAGCTCAGCTCGGGCAGGACTCGAACCACTGTTGCTCAAAGCTTGCACACTTGAGCAAGCTCTTAACCAACTGAGCCACTCAGTCAGCCCTTATATTTATTTCTATTAATTTTTCTTTTCATCATATTTGCACACTTTACTCCAAAGCCCCTCACTTCTATAGAAACTAAATTTTTTTGTTATTGTTTTTGATCAAGACAATTCCTGTCCATTTAACCTCTACCTGTTACACCTGAAAATTATCTGCCTGTGATCCACTGGGTCAAGATGGCTTCCTCCAAACCCTTTGCTTTTTTGCTACTGCCAGATGGAAAGAGAAATTAAAATGATAATTCTTTGGAGTTCTACAAAGAGAACTTCAATGAACAATGATCTGTTGTGATAAGGGGCCCCTCTGTCATCTATTCATACATGTCTGTATCTACTTAATGAGAGTGGCTCACTTATTTCAAGTGAGCATCCATTTATTCTGGTTATTCTTTTTGTTATAATTCTACTCACAGGAATAATTCATAGTTACAAAAGCACCATACTGAAGAAGGGACAGAACAATCATGAAATATTAGCTATCCATGTACCAATGACCTTTTCTCATATGTTTATACAAATTATTGTTCTTTCTATAAGCTTCTGGAATGTTTTTAAGGTTTTGCTTTTCCTCATTTTTGTTTTTTGGTTTTATTTTATTTATTCATTTTCTTTTTAGCCTGGAACTGATATACAAATTAGAAAAAGAATTACAAAGAAGATGAAAATTTGAATTTATTTTTGTACGCTAAATTTTGAAAGCCCAAGAAATCTGTATCATTTAACTATGTTTCAAAAAGAGTTGTTCAGTGGAACTCATACTAAATTATTTTAATTGAGTAGGATAGATAAAAGATTTTAGTAAGCTTTTGTTATTGTTGAATGAGAATAAGACATAGGGTTTCCTACTTTTTTCAGCAAACTGAAGTATCATTTGAGTTCCGTTAATGAATTTCCCTGGGAAATGGAAAGTGACCTCATCCAGCCCTATAATTTGAAGTGTATAAATATTTAGATCATGTCTGCTCTTTTGCTGTTGACTCTTTGGGCGTTAAATGACCGATGTCTGTGGACAGGTATTTCATTCAGCTGGGAATACGATTCCTGTGATTTTGTTATGTCTCCAGTGAGGGATAAGATTTTGCTGATCCGTTAACATTATTCTGTCAGGATTTCTCTTTTGATCCTGTTTTACCTTTTATGATTAGAGGTTCTTAGACCCTAAGGTGCCAACATTATGATGATCCTTAGAAAAAACGGTGGCTCCTGATAAAGTTAATTTTGTACTAATAATTTATTCCTTGCGTTTTGTTGATCAGGAATCTTTTATGTACACCAGAGATATAACTGACCCTGACATACGTCCTTTTCAGGGTACGCTTTCTGCTTGGGGGGCGACATGGAGAGTTTAAATTCCTTCCACCACCTGGCTATGCTCCTTGTTATGAAGCTGTTCTGCCAAAAGAAAAGTTGAAAGTAGAACACAGCCGAGAGTACAAGCAAGAAAGAACGTACACCCGGGACCTGCTGGGCCCCACAGTGTCCCTGACACAAGCCGCCTTCACACCTATCCCTGTGGACACCAGCCAGGTACTCAGATCAGCTCTAATGGCGGCGTCTGCACTGTCATCATTCTGATAAGCAGTGGGCGTCATACTCATGACTGCAGCCCCCAGGAATGCGTTTTTACAGTAATACAATTTGTATGTATGGCTGAAATAAGTTTATAAAATAATGCTTACCTTTATCATGTCCACTTACCTATATTCTATCCTATTGTATTTTATTTTTTAAGGGTGGCCCCAAGCCACTCCGCTGATTCCATAATGCAGAAATGGGTCTGTGTCACACTGATTTCAGAGAGTGCTTTTTACATAGGGTAGACACGGAGTTTTAAATTTTTTCTCCCATCTAGATACACTCACTATTTTCAAACGACTTAGCTGCCCTTTATCTCGGGTAGAGCAGGAGATCATGCACTCCAGAGTCAGAAAGTCGAGATCAGAGGCCTTCCCTGCGACCTTGAGGAAGTCACTCTTCCTGCCAATTGGGGTGCTATGAGTTTGTCGTATTAATAAATAGCATGTTAGCACAATGCTTTGCAAAGATGCACCCAAGAAATGCCAGCCATTGTTCTTGCTTTTCTGTTTTATGGACGTGAAAATATCTTGACACTGACAGTGAATTAAATATGGCTTTATTTTGATGGTGAAGTAACTTCAGTAAGGCTGATTAGATATTCAAAGTGCATGAGTTTTTGAAGATGAAAGGCAATTCTTCTAAAGTCTGAAGTACAATTCATACCAGGCCTTTTAGAATCACTTGTTAAGCACCTTGAATCACATTTTTCTTTTTGTCCCTCCATGTTGCCTTTTAATAATACTATGTAGTAAAACAATACACGAGCTTTGTTCATATCTCAGATTCCATTTGTGTGGCCCGCCGCTGCAGGGTGGTAAGGTTATGGGCAGTGCTGCTGGAATTTAGTAGCAAACACCATTGGGAGGACAGACCCGGGCTGAAGAGGACCACGGGATTATCAGCGCAAACACACGGTGGATTTCCTGGGTAACCTCCACTGTGTCAGGGAAAGGAGGCAGTGACAGCTTGCTACCTGGGGAAACTGCCTCAGCTGTGGGTGTCGTGGGCAGGTGCCTGATCTGTTTGTTCAGGGACGAGTTGTTGGTGACACACAACTCCTTATCTTGAAAACCTTTTGTGTTCTTTAGAGAGATCATTAAACTTCCTCTTTATAATGGGAACATGTAACCATTTTCCCCCTTGAAGACTATATTTGGAAATCATAAAAAAATAACACAGTTAAGAGAAAACGTAAGTCACCGCAATCAGATATTTATAGGTTCAAAGAGCCATTGGACTATCATCTGGGCACCGAATTGCCTTCATTCTGGTCCATAGAGGCGGCCAGACTGGTTTAAGATCTTTGGGGTGGTTCTCTTTTTACAAGACCAGTGCTCTAACCCCTGAGCTATGGAGCCTACTACTGTGGTGGTTCTCTTTTTAAACGATGAACGTTCTGGTAGTTATCCCACATCCATCCGTTAAGGCGCCTTTCTTAGTGGTGATTGTCCTCACCAATGCTCTGTTTGCTTTCTTCCTAAGGTTGATTCATAAATTCACTTGCAAACCTAAGCTGTCCATCCCTCCCCCACCCAAAAAAAAAAAAAAAGGTCCCAGGATTTACCTAAAGAATGTTTAGATAACTGGTTATATTTTTATACCTAGGTTATAATAGATGGTTTAGAACCTAGTTATATCATTACATTTTAATCGTATATGAGTCTGTTTTATTTAGTTTGGTTCACACTGAGGACAATTAGCACTATGTTTTATTTTATTTTATTTTTTTCTGATGCGTGCTTTCTTTTTCTTTTCTTACATTTTAGATCGTGTTGCCTCCCCACCTGGAGAGGATAAGAGAAAAACTGGCAGAGAATATCCATGAGCTCTGGGTTATGAATAAAATTGAACTTGGCTGGCAGTATGGCCCGGTACATAGTTTTGAAATTTATTTTCAGATTCCACTAATACTATTTTTTGAAAATATAACTTTTGCTTACTCATCTTGCTGTGGGGCGACATGAATGAATTAGATAGATTTTTTTTTTTCCCTACACATCAGTTTTTGAGCAGTTGTCATTGGTGGGTTCATTGAAGGATGACTCAGTTGCCTAGACCTTTGAAAATCACCAGCCTTTAGGCTGAAAGTTACATTTTTGAATCAAGGTTAACATATACACACAAGAGGCATTGGTATTTAAGTCACTTAGGAAAAAACTCATGGAAGCTGGAAATGAAAACTGAAAATGGACAGAAATATGTCATTACTTTCTTCTCTGATGATTCATTTCTCTTAGTCCCAGTTGTACAGGGAATGTCCGGAGGCCCAGGTCACAGATGGTTTCACAAGTGGGAGACAGGCAGAGAAAGAACAGCAGTTTGTGTTTCCAAATGATTACTTTTTAAAGAGCTTAGCATACTGTTTGTCAATAAAATTTAGATTAAATAAAAGCAAATAACTGCCTATGTCATCGCAGGATATTGTAGAGCTGTTCTATGCAGGACTGCGGCAGTGCTTTCATTTTTGTAATATTATTAGACTAAGTATCCTGAAGACTGTAACACTCTTATATTTGACTGAATATAGAAATAAATGAGTGTATCCACTCAGTCATAGCCGATCGCACTAAATGTTGAATAAAGAACATTTATTGTTAGTGTTAGTGGTAATACGGTACGCTTCCCCGTACTGCTTAGTAATGTTCATATATTTATTCAGCGCTTTGGCTTTCCTGATACATTCTCACAGATATTAGGTTACGTTTTCATAACAGCACACTGAGCGATGTGCTGTGTTCTCAGTTCTACCCGTGATGGCATAGCTGAGAATTCTCGATGCCTGGACAGCAGTCACAGTTGTCGGTGGCTGTGCCAGGACTGGGGCCCGGGTTCTCCAGCTTCTAGTCTAGAACTGTGTCTCGCTGTAAGACCTGCTGACGCAAAAATGGGGTCCTTTTACTAATTCACTAATGGTTAGACAATTATCAAATTACATACCTAGTTTTCTGCTACATTCATTGACTTAAAAGTTGGGGAAATGTATAAGTGCTTAATAAAAGATTTAACCATCAGTGAAAAGCAGCAAAAGGGGGGATATTATAAATGTGGACAAAGTTCATTGGCAAAGGAATTACAGGTACAATTTACCGTAAGATTCAAAGTGAAGGATTTGAATTATGGACAGAATTCTCCTTATGTTTCAAGGTGAGGTGGGAGATGATTGCAGGGTAGGACGACTTAAAAAGATTCCAAAAAAACAATCAAAAACAAAAAGCCCATTTCGTAGCAGGAGCAGTTTACTGGGCATAAACTCCAGAAAGATGGTCCCTATGGTTTGCTCCTAAGATTGCCTAAGTCATTATATCCTTCAATGAATTCTTAATGTTTCTTCTCTAAAAGATGAGGAAAATACAGGTCTCATTGGCACCTGCTTTTCAGGTTAACTCCTATCCAGCTCGGCCACATAGCTCCATGGTCGCTGTTCAGAGCGGCATTTCAGTTTCTGATGCTGGATGGGAGTGCCACTCCTCAGAGCTGTCCATTCCCCAGTTGTCCCCTGTGGTCCCTTCCCTGGCCTGAGGCGGATTCAAGCAGTGTTGGGCTCCATGTGCCTCACAGTAGACAGTGAGGACTGAGTCTGCCCTGTTGTGCAAGCACCCGGCATCTTCCCTGGTTCAGGGAACAGACTCAAGTACATGCTGATAGAGCGAAACGGTTGTGTCCTCGGGGCCACGCTGGGCAAGCCCTGCTCAGGGTATCACATGAGAGGATCAGACATGTGCGAGAGTCTCAGATTCACAGGTGAAGAGACGCCACATTGTTCTTTCAGCTGCCAGTCACCTTGCACCCCGCTTCCTTATGAAGCTCCCCTGAAACTCCTTTCAGATGAGTGGTTATGAGCCATGACCTATGGTCTCTTATTAATATTCTAGATTTAGGTAAGTCCCTTTTTTTAGGCTAGTTCTATACATTCTTTAACATTTTAAGTGAAGTATTCAGTTGTGTTTTACTTTGGAATTATTGAAACTTCCCAGTACGTTGAATAAGTTGTTTTGTTTGTTCTTCCCCG